TAGTGTGGGGTATTCCTGCCCATGGCAGGGGGGTTGGAATTAGATGATCTTAAGGTCCTTTCCAACCCAAACCATTCTACGATTCTGTAACACAGAACAAATTCTGGTAGGCTTGAGACTTAACAGGGAAAGGAAAAAGATTGAGTCAAATTATTTAGGAAAGCAGAAAAAGTCAGAGATTGAGAGATGAGATGTTTCTGAGGAAAATGATTTTGTCAGATGCTTCAAGAAATAAGAAAAGTGAAAAGGAAGGCTTAGGGAATCTTCCCAGGAAAAAGGCTAATAGAAAATTTACTGGTCTTTAGGGGCAAAAAGAAAGGGAGACTGATGGTAACTTGAAAATTACATGGGTTGAGAAGGGATTGTCTGAGAACAGAAGAAAGATCTCATATTATTCCATGCAGAGAATATAGTTCTAGCAGACAGAGAATGGATGATTGATGCAGTTAGAGAAGTCAGGATGAGGTGGGATAGAAGGAGCCCATAAAGATTTTTGAAAAGAAAAGTAGTAAGTATTTCTGAGTAAGAAGTCATAAAAAAAGGAAGAGGTACTAAAAAGAACATTATATCACACTCACAAGAGACAATTTTCTCTTCTAATAACCTATACAAGAGAAACACATTGATTTGCCAGACAAGAGAACTAAGCAAGGAGAGGAACAACTTAATGTAATTTCTCTTTGACATAAGAAATGGAGGAACAACTGAGAAAACAACTGCCCTGAACTTTAACACCTTAGAATCTGCTCAAATCCTTTACTATGATGGTAGCTAATTGTGTAAAACCTTAAAACCAAATCCCTCTTGCTTGCGTATCATTTCAAAGTTTCACGAAAACCACTAAAATTGACAGCACAAGGAAAGAAACAGTGATTCCTTTTTAAATACCAGACACAAAGTCAGACATTCTTGTCTTCCTTTCATGAACAAAAGCAATTACTGAAAGATTCTTAATACTCACCTCAAAGATTTTGCCTGCTTTAAGAAACCTCTAGCTTTTGCTACTTCTTGAGTAAGCTGCTTTAAATCATCTCCTTCAAAGTAAGGGAAAACTGGATCCTGAAAACAGAATTAAAATATTCTACTTTAATTTGTACCAATTTATCATTTTCAGTTTCTACCAGCTTAATTAACTGAGCCTAAACTGTCAATCTCCCTACTCCTATCTACTGGCAGACAAAGTCTTGGTCTTAAAAGAGGAGAGCAGAGCAACTCTGGATTGAACGTGGTTCTGTTCCCTAACATAATACTTCTGCTCTGGCAATCCCTGAGGTTTCCTGCTGCAGCATTAACGTACTACATACTGTGTCAGGATTTTACAATAACATAAATGAAATACAAGCTGGCAAGGCTAAGAAGGCATAGTAAAAGCTAAAGTTAACTTAAAACCCACAGTGTCCAAATGCAAGATTTTTTATTTCTTATGCTTCTCTTTCAAAACCTATGCTGCACTGTGTAATTCTTTCATGAGTTTCATCAACTGACCAAGGCAGCTGGCAAAGAAGCAAAGGCAGATATTCAATTGTCTCCTTTTGGTTTCAATGTGAAGCATCTTATGAATCTTCTATTAATTTTTCTTGTGATTTTTGTTTTTTAAATGCAGTTTGACTATTGATGAACTAAGCTGAAATGAAATCAAACCAAACCAATCTATTTAACATACATCTTCATCATCAAGCCCCTCTGTCAACATTCTGTGTGCTGCTAATTGTCCATCCACATCTCCGAAACTGCAGTGATAGCGCCCTCCTGTTTGGGAAGCAAGCTTCTTCAGAAATTCATTACCTCCTCTGTTAAGAACAAAGTAGTTAGTTACTTAAGAAAATTATCTCTCAGAAAGCAACAGCAATAGAAGAAGAATTTCTAAGAATTCCTCAAAAAACACTGCATCAAAACAAGTGGTTTGGAGGACATGACTGTAAACCTCTGTATCATTTCGCATCATCAATTGCTAATGTGGAATATACACTGCTTAGCTGTCATAACAGGCTACTTTTGGACAAGAGGTTCAGTGTAGTAATAGAACCAAAAATGAAAGTAAATCAAGAAATCCAGAAGCCAGGCCGGCAGGTGAAGAGCAGTTAATATTTTACACATAGGAAGAAAACTGAAAGCCAGGAGTCTCCATAAAGAGTCACACTTTTACTGCCATTTATACATCATTATTTTAGAGTCCTGTCTCCCAAGCACTAGCATTGCAAAGTCAAAAACAGTCATACAGCCATTAATTTCAAGTAAACTGCAAGGATTGATTCCATCCTAGAACTGGACACTAAAGTATCCACAACTAACTAGGAGATTTCTTTGCAAAGAAACAGCAGAAGAGGAACTTGTATTCAGAAGTAACATGTTTCTCCCTCATTAGCAGATATCCTGTACAGATAGTTACTGGCTACTGACCAGCTAACCAAATGATATGCAAATAAACTCAAAATATTCGTAATAAAATATTTTTAATTTGGCTTTTCCAACTTAGGTCCAATAATTCTACGTATCAAGCACTCTACTACTTCTCCCTTTAATGGCTTGGAAAATGACAGCCATGCTGTACAGTGAACTGAGAATGTGGCCCAGGCTTTTGACAATAAATAAACTAGTAATTCTAAAAGTTTTTATTATTCTTGCAAAGTATCATATACCTGTCTGCACAGTTAAAAGAAATGGTGTGAATTTTAATATCTTGTTTCTTTCTTGATCTTTCAACTTCTGTCAAAATCAGACTGCAACTGGTGTCTGGTTTTCCATCAGTCAATACATACAGTGCCTCTATACCTTGGAAACTGAGCGCCTTCTGAAAAGCAGAAAATAAGCTTAAATAATTAGTACATTTATATGAAAAGTTTAAGAATGAAAACACTATTCTAATGATTTAATATTGTTTTATATTTACCACCTCATTAATCAAGTGAGTTTTGTCTTTTCACTAAGTATGAAAGAGATCAAGGATATAAACTTGAAAAATAAATAAGTAGATAATCTGTAGCGTAAGAGAATATATTTCTAAGAACAACATCACAAAAACCTGATTTATTGAAATAAGCAAATCAACTGGGTTTGGAGAACTGCTAACACAAGATTTTTGCATCACATTTTGTAAGAGTTCAAGATGCTCAATGTCTGCTCACTGGGACTTGGCCTTTTTATATTATTGAAAACTGCTACAGTAATTGACTCTGTGGACATTTTTTTAATACACACATGCCTTACAGTTCTACTGGATTTGATTCATCATGAATTCCGTGAAATTTACTAGGAGATTCTGCAAGGGTGTCTGAAAGAATCATGCATTTAAGGCAACATTTCTTTTGTGATTCAAATTTTAAATCTCATGAAATTTTAAGTTATTTCAGTCTCTGTTTTAAATTATTATTACTACTAAATTTCTACAGGTGAAAAGTTTCTTCACCTGTTACTGAAGTTCAAGAATTGTGTATTCAATGCCCACGCAATTCCAGAAAAGACCACTTCTTTAAAATCCCTGTTTGGCTCAGAGCAAGTATCTCACTGCCACAGCTGTACATTAGCATCAATTTGAGCAATTGGCTATTTTCTCTTTCTAGTATTCTCTGAAAACAAGTATTAACTCTACTGATATTTCACATTTTTCTTAAACTCAGTACGAGTGATGAATTCTACTATCTACTAGCCTTGGGGACAGAAACAGTGGCTTGATTCCAGATCTGTTCAGTGTTCTGCATGTAAAAATGCTTTATGCTCTGACCAAATAATTTTCCCCAAAACATTACCAGTCAGATGGAAGTGTTGTATCACCACAAGAGAAGATGTCCCCTCCAAAATGCAGTACACAATTTACTAACCTGTAAAGCCATAAGGGTGCATGTATTGCCATGAGCATGGAATGTGGACACCCACTGCACAGCATCGTGACATGTTTCATCAGTTGCCTCTACAAGACACTCCTTCCAACTCTCCGTATTTTCTGCAAATCTCAGCAGGTTAAACCTAAGGAGCAAGATGGCCCACAACATTAAAGCCTAACCAGCATTATCAGTCACTTCAGATAAGCCAGTTTTGAAATAAACAAAACAAAACAAAGAAATCCAAACACAAAAGTAAACCGAATAGGAAAAACCAACCAAAACAAAAAAAACCCGAACACAAAACAACCAACTTCCTTCCCCCCAAAACCCAGAAGCCTCGTATTGAAGTCTTCAGCTTTACAAGAGTCAGAAAGCATGTATCACTCTGCATGAACAAAAAGTCTATGGGTACGCTGAGCCCAAAGGATAAACAGCAGCAGGCAAATGAGGCTCAAACCTTAGAGAGCTCAGAACTGAAAGCTGGTTAACAAGAACAAAAAAAGCAGTTCATGTCTCGTGTGTATTACACACTAACATACAATAATTACTTGTATTGTTTCAGTACTGTATTATTTATTATTAAGTAATTTTATGACATAATAGTAAGTAGTGCAGATTTCAGTCTTTATCAGTAGTTCATCATACCTTACTTTATTCTTTCTCAGCTGTTCCCAGACAAGGGAGGTAAGTTCTTTCATGATATGTGGCAAATATGGGTCCATGGAACCAGATGTATCAATCAAAATACAGACATTTGCTTCTAAAATGGTACCAAACAATCTTCGGCTTCCTGGGCCAGAACATTAAAACTAACTGTCATTACATAGGCTTATTTTATTGAACATGTTATTTTATTGAGCATACTGTAAAACCTTTGGTCTTTAGGGGTTATTCTGGGCACATTTCTACATAATAAATTCTAATCTGTGTGCAGCTATGTAGTTCAATAAGCAACAGAGGGATCAAAATACTTTTCATCAGCAGGGCATATTCTTAGCAAAAGAAACTTTAAAGCTAATTTTGTTTGTTGATGTTATTGTATATATTCAATGGATACAATGCTTCTGAGACCAGGAACCTTGCAGTTCTGAACACAACATACAAAAAGAATAAACTTATATCAAAGCCCTAACAATTTCACAGCAAGCTCGATGTTTCAGCTACACAGACACTGAATTCTCTTGTGTTCTTGTATTCATAAAAAACATGAATACAATGAAATGCAAAACCAATGACTTTTATTTATATTTGAGGTCCAGATTTATATTCAGATTTATTGTATGATAAGTAGTAGACAAGAATATTTTATATACATTTCAACTGTGCTTTACAGACCAGATGCACACCAGTACCTGACAGAAGCCACTGTATTCTTTCTATATAGCGCCGCAACACTTTCTCCAGTTGTTCAGTGTAGATTTCTAGTTCTTTAGGTTGGAACTGCAGATGTTTCACAACCCCCTGGAAAAAATCAGGAAGACTGAGGAGTTTGTCTTTACCTCTATGAAATAGTGTAAGAAAATTCCTCTGACTCTGTTGCTACTAAATAACTGGTTTACCCAAATGAGGAAAGCCTTGTTGTCATCTCAGCCAGCTGAGCTGAGCAACAAAATTTGACTAGACAGATGAACCAGCTGCATTATCTCGAACAGTTTTATAGATAAAATAAAGCAATAGTATCCTGGACTTAACTTTCTGTGCTTCTCTCCAGTTATTACACAAACCCAAACAATCAAGATCTAACATTTTCCCAGCTTTGATTCACACAGCATTTTTAAAAGGTTTACTTAAAATTTTAAAATTGTTCTCCCCACTGTATGAGCAGAGGAGACGCATTCTCCAGATCCCATGCATTTTCCACTTTGAACATACTAGAAACTTTCTCTAGCTTACTAACAGAAACATGATTCAGAAAGACAGCCACAGAAGAGTGAAGAGAATATCACATTGGCAAGCCACAAATGTTGATCAACATGCACTCTTTTAAAGACAAAACCTTTCAGTGATGTAGGTAGATGAAGTCTGTAAATGCCTACATTGACTTCCACACTGGGGAAGACAGCGCAGTATTTTGCTGACACTCTCTTGTGCAGCGACGCCACAGTTTTCTGTTGGTGAGTACAGCCTGGACCAAACAGCTGTCGGGGCAATTCCAGTTTAAGCTTTTTAATGCCGTACTTGGTCAGCCACTGGTAAGACAAACAGATGAAGCAACTGGTTGCTAGTAAATATTAGAAGAGATTATGTAACGATACATTGTAAGGAATCACAGTTAACATGTTCACATTAATTCGTATGGATAATTCTCAAATGGCATTTCATTAGTAAGGAGCAAAGTACCTCTTTGCTTGAACAGATTTCCTCTTTGTTTGGCAACGTAACAGAGGGAACAGACTTTCCTATGCACGTTACCTTTGGATACTTTTGGTATACTGGACCTAGTCAAGAAAATTAACAAAGTAATATTGAGAGCCTGAGGTTTAAATCACAGCCCTTTGAGTCATATGTGACTGTGGATTAAAAAAAACAAATCAACCAACCCCAGCTCCACACATGAGCATTCATACACAGTTCCACATTTGAAAATAAATGCAAAATTCCCATACAAACTATTTAAAAAACATCTGATTTTTAAAAATTGTCACCTGTAAAAAATTCCAAGCCAAATATTCTGTAACCATCTACACCCTCATGACAGCATTTTTCTTTAGAGCACCTTTGACAACAAGATCCCAAAGGACTTCAAAAAACAAAACAAAATTCCCCAACAGATCCCCAAGATTACAACTGCAAGTGTTTCTAAAAACTTCAATTAAATCTCTAATTTAATACTGTCTTTTAATCAAGCCCCAAAACAAACTGAAGACAAAAAGCCCCTAATCTATACAGACCTGGCGGAATTTCTGCTTTGGCACTAGTAGGACGCCATGTCTGTACGCTTCTGGAAGCACTTCTCTCTGCAGCATGGTTGTCTTTAATATACTATAAGCACACATAGTAACAATAATTTTAAAAAAGGCAATTAAGTCTTTCAGTTGGATCATAACTGCATTATTCAAAACTGGAACAATTGTTCATTATTCTCTAATTCCTGTTTTACTCTGGCTCTTCTGACAGTCAGCACCTGCCATGACAACCCATTCTTTGTGATTTCTTCCTAGGTTAAGTAACTCATTGTTCTGGTTTAATTATCTTGCCAACTTCATCTGCTGCCATAAAACTAAAGACTAACATCTACAGGCAGATGAGTCTCAAACATTTTTGCAACTTGAAGAAACAGTCTAGTATGGTAATGGTACTGTTTTATAAAATATAGTATGTAGAATCTTCCTCAGAATTTTATGGAATATTTGAAACCTAGTGCTGACAACACTTGTTTTTTCCTCCAGGTAAGGAAACCTCTAGAGTCAACCCTCTAGGGGATGAGCAGTCTGCTAAACAACACGAACACTTGTTTAATGACTTGTTTAATAAGACTTTTGCTGTGATACACAGACTTCAAGTAATGGACATCTAATGTAAAATAACAAACTATGACATACTATATATAACAGAATCATAGAAATGTTTGGGTTGGAAGGGATCCTCAAAGGTCATCTAGTCCAACCCCTAACATAACATACTATAAAACATAACATACTACAAATATCACCAAACATCTAGAGACAAACCTGTACCAGTTTTCTACAAGTTTAATCCCTGTAAAACTATGCTATGTTGTCATACCTCCGAGTGATTCTTTTTTCCTGCATTTGTGAAGAAGTATTGAGCATATACTGTTTTTGATAAAATAGCACGGAAGACCTGTTTGAGCTTACCTACCAGGCCTTTGGCACATGAACACACCTAAGAGTGCCATTCCATTTCAAAGATGAGACCTGAAAATTCCAGGTCAAAAGTTAACTACATCCTCTGCAACAGGAAGTTCTTATCTAGTCATTTCTACACCCAAGTTGTAAGCACTGGCCATGGCCATTTGTATGTATTACAGATATGCACACCCACTCAGAACAGATGCATACATAGTCAAAATGAACAAGGAAAACGTCAGCAAAATCCCAAGGACTCAGCAGTGTAACTCCATGGCAATCAGCACAGCAGGCAGGAAACAAATCCTGAACCCTGTTTCTAGTTTTTATGCTGGCTCTCTGTGTGGCCAAAGACATGCTACTCAGGCGCAGCTGTCTCATCTGGAAATGAGCAGAATGCCATAAAATTCAGTACTTTCTAGAAGGACTTGAAAAATAGATGGAATATGGTAAAGCACATTTCTGCTTTGCCTTTGTTTACACTGAACACTAAATATTTAAGGTCAGAGGAGGGATTATTTAGGTAATTTTAGACACTGAAATGTTGTTCCATTATAATTACTTATTTAGTGGGAATTAATAAGATGTCTTTTTTTGTTTATGTAGCATTTTGAATGCAAATTACAATGTCAATTCAGGATACTCTCACAGTGCTGTTTTAATTCCTGCAAATTTTTAGTCTGAGCACTTCTCTCACAAAGAGCAGCATCTGACAGTTGGGTAAGATCTCTAAAACACACAGCTCATTAAAAATGGGACCACTTCAAACCATTCTAGCCAGACTCAGGGCTGTGGGCTTAGGAGATGGCAACTTCTGTGGCTTTCTTCTCTCTTTCTTTGCAAGCACATTTGAGTCTCCTGGTATAAATGGATTAACAGACTGATTTACCGAACGTTGCTTTAAGGATTCCACTAGGAATGCACACTGAAATGGAAGTTCACAGCATTTAGTAATTCATATACATGAAATTTAAGTAAATGACATTTCAAAGCCAGACATTCTATATTTATTACTTCAATAAAATAAAATTCACAGCAAATTTATTAATCTGGCAATGCTTGACACCTCTAACTGAACAGAAACCCCTTTGTGCTGTGGTTGCTTTAATACACAGGAGGGAAATCCTTCCTGCTCTAAGCAAACATTCTAAAAGAAAAGGCAACAGTTTGCACACCAAGACCAGAACAAATTTGAAGATGATGAACCAAGAATATGCAACTATTAAATGTCAACAAAATATTTTAAGATCCCATTAAATATCCATCAACTCTTCTTCTTAAACAAAAGAGTTTTGTGACTCAGACTTGCATGCAACAAGCTGTTTAGACCTCTGGAGACAGATCTTGTGGCATCTTTCTAATCACACTTTTGTAACACTCAACAACTGTATGGCCAGACTGGCTACACTGCCTCAGTCACTTTTTTAGATAGCTTTATATATAGGCATATAATATGGAGACATATGGTCTAGTTCTACACACCTAGTACACTTCACAAAGCAATTGTTTTGGAACTGAGCAAAGGTATTGTCCCACTGATGAACCCTCCCTGACATGTGACTTACAGGAACGTAACATTTTATGTTTGTTATAGAATATATCTTTTTTACATATTTCTTTTTTTATACATATAGTTATAGCAAACAATTCTATTTGGGAAGAATTCATCGTAGGATTGGCAACAAAAAGGAGAATCACTTAAATTATAAACTCCTTGTATTTGATAAGGAATCTTGGCTACTCCAACAACCATCACCGCAGTGCTATTGTACAACTGCTTTCTAGGCCATATTTACTCTGTGGTGACTATTCTCACACTCTCAAGCATTC